CAGCAGTCTAAGCCTATAGCAGCAGAACTATAGAGATAGATCAGGATAACCTGAGAAAGGTCTCATGATCATGTGACACCATCATGGTTCCTCTGTAGAACGACTGATGTTCTGTCATGTTCCTGATCCTGGCGGACCTCCTGAATCCAACCGACCTAAGGAAGCTTCCAGATGAAGGAGAAATGATCTTGGGAGGCAAAAAGCTTCTTACTAAGATTTAAAAACCGATCCAAACTGATCTCAGATGTTTCCTGCTGAGGTTCTTCTGTTCAGGATTCCAGAATTTTGACCGAATTTTTCCTGCTTGATGTTCAGAATGAAAGAGTTGAGAAGTAAACCGGACCTCAGGAACCTCTCCTGATGCGTTAAGCTTCTGGGATCTTCTTCTATCTGTTCATTCATGGTCCTATTTATTTTATCTTCAGATAAGTCAGAACGGTTCTGAAATACTTTACTCAATGCTGTAACTCATAAAGAACTAAACTTCAACTCGACTTAGAATGATTTTTGTTTCTATGACGTCACTAGTCCCTCTGTCCCTCCAGGGGATGACGGAGGCTGAGGAGGACAAGCTTCTGGCCCTCAAAGACTTCATGCTGAAGTCCAACAAGGCCAAAGCCAACATGGGCGACCAGGGACACCTGGGAGAGGCGGGACAGACGGGAGTCATCGACCTGGGGACGCTGGGCATCACGGGCCGTCAGGTGGACTTGGTGAAACCCAAGACGGAGTCGGACGATAAGAGAGGTGGGAACCGCTGAGGTGTCTCCTGTGAGTCCTGCTGAATCTGAGGGCTTCAGCTGATGCTCAGCTGACCTTCATGGTGGACGTCTGTAAATGCATCAACCGTTCCTCATAAAGCCAGCTTTAAAAAGATCTGTTCATAACATGAAGAGCAAATTATCCTGATTTAAAAAAACTAATAAATCATTATATTTTAAAAGTTTATTATAGCAGACGTATTAAATACTGGCAGAAAAAAAATCTAAATATGTTTTCTTAGACATTATTAAAAGTATTTATAATATATAACAACAAATGATGCATAAAATATGTGAAAAAGGTCTGATTTCCAACAATCAGGGGGGAGTGTTGGCCTAGTGGGTCAGAGCAGTGCACAGTACCTGGTTCGATGCCCACAGCCTGCACTCTGGGTCCCTGA